TCCCACCACTACTACCAGCACTCACTCACTACCAACCAACGCACACACCAAACCGCAGTTAATAACCAGCACCCACCCTTACTACCACCAACCACCCACCAGCTAATACGCCAGCACCCACCTACCTACCACCACCCACGCCAACCCTTAAATACCAGCACGCCACCTACACTACCACCACCCAACCCACCAGCCTAATACCAGCACCGCTCCACCTACTAACCACCACCCACCCCCAGCTAGATACCACAGCACTCACTCACTACCACTTACCTATCCACCAAGCTAATACTGGCACCGTACCCGCTTACCACCTACCACTAATACCAGCACCCACACTACTACCTCACCTACTACTACCAGCTAATACACAAGCACCACCACTACCCACCTACTACCTACCAGCTAATACCAGCACCCCCCCCCACTAACCACCTACTACCTACCAGCTATAGTTGTTTACTGGGCAGTTCATCCTCTCCACCGACCACTACCACAACCACCCACCACCCTAATACCACAACTCACTCACTACCACTTGTACCATCCACAGCAGCTAATAACTGTATTTACCGCTACACCTACTACTCTCGCACTTTAATACCACACCACCCTACTATCCACCTACCACCACACAAGACCAGCTAATACCAGCACCCACCCACTACCACCAACCACCCACCAGCTAATACCAGCACCCACCCACTACCACCAACCACCGTACGTACATTCACTAGGACACCCACACCACCACCTAAAGTTCGTACGCGCCGGGATAAAGTGTTTGTTAGTTGCCACCCCGAGCGAACGAGTTATATAGCGTTCTTTTCTCGTAGCTCCAGAGAGAGAGAGAGCCTCAGAGAGAGAGAGAGAGAGAGGAGGCGGGACTTACTTTGAAGGACAGCAAGCCCATATATTCCATCCCTACCCCAGGTCGGCCTGGGGTCCCACCGCGACCCTAAAAAACATCGGGCAAAAAAATTGCCGAACGTAAGCAATCGATCAACACATCTATACACACACACACACGCACGCACGCGCACGCACGCGCACGCACGCACACGCACGCGCACGCGTCGCGCGTCATAGCAACGGACAATGACGTCACAGCGACGGTAGGCCACTAGTACGACGGGGGGGGAGGAGAGAAGGAAGGTTAGGGTGAAGGAGAGGGAAGGGGGAGAGGACGCGGGGAAGGAGGGGGAGGAGATCAGAACATAGTGAGAGAAGAGGGAAGCAAGAGGAGAGGACAGTGTGATAAGAAGAAGAGAAGAGGAGGATAGATAGAAGATGAGGGAGAAAGGACGGGGAAAGAAGAGAAGGGGAGAGGAGATGAGGGTGAGAGAGGAGTGTGAGAGAGGGTGAGAGAAGATGAGAGAAGGTGAGAGAAGGTGAGAGAAGAGGAGAGGCCATAATGCCCACGATGCACTACGGACTACTACACACACAAACACACACACACACACACACACACGCACGCACGCACGCACGCACGCACGCACACACACACACACACACACACACACACACACACACACACGTGCGTACTGGTCCTCCGGGCGTGGAGACGGGTAGCGTGTCCGCGCCTAGCAGGGGTGCTGTTTATCTAACACACGTCGTTATCCTGCGGCCATCGTCTCACCAAAACTCCGCATACGAACTCGTACAAGCTTCTAAACTCTAAAACGTCAACGTTTTAAGCACAAAATGGAAGTTTGTTGCGACTGACGCAGACGTGATGACTCGTCATAGTTACGATGGGGAGGGGGGGGTACGTCCAGTAGCCTACCGCCCGTGAGTTTTCAAACCAGGGCGCCGTTCTGAGCAAGCGGATGAACTCTGTGTGAACGCTCAGACTGACGCTGGGGTGGTGCAGAGAAAGTACCGAAAGTGGGTCTCGTTTTTTCTTTTTCAAGATTAAGATTTATGTCGGGATTTTACATCAGTTGGGGTTATCTTCGAGATCGCTGCTTGTAGGAACACGATAATACACAGACGAGTGCAATATGAGGGGGCATGCAACGGACATTAAATTTGACTACGTCACGACGTTTATAATGCGTGTAATTTGAAAAAAGAATTGTTGCGTTTATTACGATGAAAAAGTAAGGTACTTAACGCACTTAAATGTGTATCCTCAGAATCTTAGCGCGATAC